AGAGTCTAGAATAGCTCTCGTTGAGGGCAAAAACAACGAAAGTCCACATGAGAGCAGTGTAAAACAGCGAATGCCCATGTTTTAGCAAAGCATAACAGCGAAAGTCCTGGTCTGGGCTGACAAAACAGCGAAAGTCCACGGGGTTTTTGGACTTTCGCTGCTGTAAGCCCAGACCTGAACTTTCGCTTTTCTGTTAGCTCACACATGAACATTCGCTCTTTTAACGGACCAAACTGTGGACTACCATTTTCTATTTAAAACTTTTAGCACGAACATTCCCATGTACTGTTTTCCATATCTGCAATAGAATTATCGACTAAAATGTTAACTTTAACTTTTTAACTTGGCCAAATAATGTAAAAGCTCTCAATGAAAAATTTACAAAATAACACAGAAATAACACAAGTAAACTTACTTCTTTTTAACCAGCACATTTTTGAGGTATGCTAGTTCAACCAAAAATGTCCTCAGAATAACATTATCATCCCGTGTGGTTTATTGAAACCAGGAACAACGAGGTAAGGTAAAGATCAGCAGGTAAGAAATCAAGTATAAACAATTCCCAGCCATATATAGCACGGCTTAGACGATTTGTTCGAGAAGTTAGTAATTATTCTTATAACAAAACAGAACAACTTCTGTGTTGTGCCTTTAGCACCCACCACAAAAGAAAAAAGTAACACACACGCAAAAGTATTTGCAGTGCTACAGCTTGCCACGTCCCGTCAACACCAAGAGCGTTAGTGAGCTTAGTGTTAAGTGTTGTTTTCATTTTTGTTTATTTTTGATACTTTTGAAGAAACAACATGCGACAGCAAGTGGGTGTCCAAGATTCTTTCGTGTTCGATTCTGATAAACAGCTAGGTTATGTCACCGAAAAATATTGCATTTGAGCGATATTTTTTCATCACTATTGTGTCATGCGTCACGTCATATGTTTTAGCGAAATAAAAGAAAACAATATCTGAAATACGACCTTTTCATTTCTACGATGTCATCACGCGACTGACTAGGATTTTAACACCAGCAAACTCCGTTGCTGAATTAGCAAAGAAACATCCATCAATTTAAGCTTGCTGCCACAGCTAGAAATAATGTAGGCGCTATGTTAGCCAAAATAAATTGCTACCGCAGGAATAAAACAGCTGTGGCAGCAAATCTTTTCTCTCCGTGAAGCTTGCCCGGAATACCCTGTTAGGCTCCGGTTAGGCTTTCTTCAGAACCAACCTCCGATGCCACTATCTCTAAATGGATGAGCGCTAGCGAAGCCTGTTAGGGACCATCCAAATACTACGTAGTTAATTTTGGGGGAGTGGGGGGTAGGGGTTCAGCCTTGCACTACGGTCGGTTTGCGCCAGCAAAACGCCTCGTCGTCTTCTGTAATCGAGGGGAAACGACTAAGGTAATCCGGATGACAGCCGTTAGGTAATCCGGCATGTGTAAACTGAGGAAATTCGAAGTGATCCAGGGGTAATCCGAAGAAATTTTAGGGTAATTCATGGTAACCCTAGAGGAAAGGCAACGTAATCCGGAGGATACTCCTGAGGTAATCCAGGTAATTAGAATCCAGCTGACACAAAGTTTAACAGCACTGCAAA